TTGCTAAGAGGATGGTCCAATTTAACAATGTTTCTCCCATTCGGATTCCGTTCTGCCTTTTGGTAGATGAAAACTACCAGGAAAAAGAAGGGAAAGGAAGTTCCCAGTTGAAATTCCCGAAAGATCAAGGCTGTGAGACGCTTAGAAATGTACAGAAAGCTGAGGCCAGAGCACTCTGGTTGTGGGGGCGCAGTGTAGATGGAGGCAAGAGATGGGGGTGTGGGGAACGAGGAGCTGAGCATAAAATGAGCCCCGCCCCAGAGCCCGCCTTTCCCCAGCAGCCTGGGAGCCTCATTCTTGGTCAGGGAAGAAGATGGAAATGTAGTTCCCCCACCATCGGTCCCGTGATGGGAGCTGTCCCTGCCTGCCCAGGCCTTGCCACTGCCCTTCCATCACCACCTCCCCTCCAAAGAGACTGTGTCCATGCCGTCAGTGGCATACTCCCCATTTTCATTTTTGGATGAAGTGACATTTAGCTTTAACGAGACATTTCCAAAGCGCCTAGTCTCCTCCAAAATGCTAACTTTAAAAGTTGGGCATCGTAGGTGAAAAACCTTTTTAAAAAGGCTAGTGAGAGACACTAGGCTAGGCATAAATGCGCACTTCCCCATCCTTGCTATTAAACATTTAAAATACCTTTGAGTTGCTTTTCATGGATCATTATAGCTTATCCAATAATGTAAAGAAGTAAAGTCTGTGTTACTGTAATTCTTGTAGTGTTTAGGCTCTCATTTCTACCACAAAATAAGCTGTATGCTATGTATCAAGCTTTCTGTGAACAGAAAGGAAAGGTGCCTTATATTCCAAAGTCGTGGCTACACACCCCTGTGGACAGTAATCAGAAGCACAGTATATACAGAAGCATTGGGACTTCCGTTGGTGAAACCAGATACCAGTCAGCAAGATGGATTGAAGTGGCATGGGGCTCCTTTTGTTTTCTGGTTCCCTTTTTTTTTTTCCCTCCATTTTTCGTTTCCTTTTTTCTTCTTTCTTTTTTATGTTCTCATAGCTTGCTTTAAACAAAAAGCACTTAAATAGATGACTATGTGTAAAAAGCTCTGTGCAATAGAAATCATTTCCCTTCATTTTTAAGAGAGAACGTATTGCACACCAAATGGACTCAAAGTAAGCTTTAGACCAGGATGATTCAGGTTGTGGAGGAGCAGGATGAGTTTGTTCACTGTAGTTCCATTTTGTTCGTGAACTGAAGGGAAAACGGGCCTCCCCAGCACTGCCTACCCCCCTGCCCCGCAACCCCATCTCAGTCTGCCTCTTGCTGACCACCATGCTAGTCACGCAGGGCCCACGGGCACCCACCAGAACTTCTGGCTGGGGCGGCAGGGCGTGTGGAGGGGGCCTGTGACTAGGCAGCTGAGAACCCTCCCCAGTGAGCGTGTGACCACAGGCATCCCTCCCAGCACTTCACCTTTTTCTTGTTGAGATGGATCGACTGCTACTGACCCCCGCCCCCCACCTCCCCGCAGCGTGCGTGAGGATAATTATAAAAGGATATTTCCTTGAGGAAAAAAAAATTGTTTAAAAAAATATTTCTATTCTATTTATTATTAGGTTAATCATTTAAGTACTTATCAGGAGTGTATTGTTATTTTGTGTCATTGTTGTTACCATAAATGCTTCTGACTTTCACTCCAGCCTTTGCTGTCTTCTGCCTCCCTCCCTCCCCCACCCTCAGAGACCCAAAGGGTCTGGGGGATGTGATCGGAGGGCAGAGGGGGGCTTCTCTGAATCAGCTGTCCCTCTGCAGAGTAGCCACTCAAAAACTGGTGGTCTCCGTCACGTCTCACTTTTCAGAACGAGAGAGTTGATGAACAAAACAATCTCCCAATGTTAAGGAAGCGCCGGGATTTGAAGTTTGCTAGTGTGAGGAGCTGTAGAGGAGACTTAGAAAAAGCAAAGCTCGGTTCCCCCAAAGCCTCCTAGAGCCTCCGGTCAGACTTCTGGGTTCATGACGGTTCAGGAGCCCCGGGGCAGGGCGGACGCGGAGGCCTGGTCGAGCCTGACTTCGGGTGAGAGAGGTCTCTGGCAAGGCTCACTGGGCTGACGAGTTTCCGTTGGCTTTTGTCACAGTTGTTGTCGTTTTCCTTGCCTACAAAGTTGGTCAAAACCATCTTGCAGAGCAACCGTGTTTTTCTGTCCGGCTGTGGCTTAAGGACCCACTCCAGGGGAGCAGAGGGGGGGAGCCCCTTTCGCCCTTCCTCTGGTTAAGTGCGGAGGAAGCATGGGCCAGGGGCACAGCTTTCCGTGGAGAAGCACAGCCAGCAAGACACCCAGTGGCTTGCTCATTGGGTGTTGGGGTGGCGGAGGCTGAGGCTGGGCACTGCCCGCTGCCCCGAAGTGGGGCTCCCAGAGGGCCTGCTGACCCCCGACTCTCTCCGCGTCACCCACGGCTTTTCCCCCCTCTGACATCGTCTGGGGTCCTGATTCTGTCCTCGTCTCTTTGAAAGCCCTCTGATGAAACAATGGCCCCATCCCTCCCCCTACAAGGGTTTCCATTTCCCCCAAGTCGTCTATGCATTTCTCTCTCTCCCTCTCTCTCTCTCTCTCACCGTTTTCTGCCTCATTCCTAGAGAAAACGGGCATCTCATGTCCCACCCTCTGAAACACCCCCCCACCCCACCCCCAACTTTCAGAAAATGCTGTGCATTTTGGAGACGTGAGGATTTCATCCAAAATTTTGAAAGCATTTGCGGACAGCACATCAGAAAATAAAAATGGGAAAAAGCGAAACGAAAAGGCGGTGTGCCCCCACGTTCCTTTCCACTGAGTAAGACCTAGCTCTTTGCGATTGTGCAATAAACTACTTGCCGTGAGAGCAGGTGGCCACGCTCCTGCCCAGACTACTAACTAACACAGCACAGGATGGCCGGCCACGCGGGGGCCTCTTCCAGACGCCTCCCAGTAAGCTCAGCTCCCCCCGCCCCCACCACCACCCTGTCTCGTGGTGTCTTATGTTTTAGCAGTATTTTATATTTTCTGTAACGCACTAAATCTTAGATGTTTTTAGAGCTCATTTGTTCATACTCACAATCACAGACTTTTTTTTTTTTTTAATCCTCACAATGACCCAATTGACCAAAAAAAAAAAGCATCATTTTTGTACAAATAGCTTTCAGAAAAGCCTCTGTTGTGTTGCTGTGACCCATCTCCGGTAACATTTTATTTCTTGCTATTTGTTCTCGACACGAGAAGTCAAAAGTTGATCCGCCTGGCATGGGGGTGGGGGAGGCACCCGTCGTCCCTTCTGTCCTTGGTTTAGCCATACGACGTTTGTTCTCAGCACTGTACAACGGTCCCTATATGATATGGAGAAGCAATATCACTGTATGAAACTCACACCATGTATTATTATTATTCACTAGCACCCTAGGTGTGATAATTGAAGTAAATATCTTTTATACAAACACAAGAACGTGTGGGTTGTTTTTATTTAAAGGGCTCTGGCCTGAGGAGGAGCAGCAAACACTTTTCATTCTGGGTCCAAAGGGCACCTCGAGCACTGCCTTCCTCCCGTGCTTCCTCGGGCGTGTGGCGTCGGGGCCGGGTGTCGGCAGAAACCTGGGTAGGATGCGTGGGGGACCTGGGGGCCAGCCGTCCCCGCTGTCCACGGGTCTCCTTCTGGGTACACATGAGGCCCTGTGTGCCCGCTGGCTTCTTGGCACCTTTGGAGGCCTGGCCCTCCCAGCACCGGCTTCCTTGTCTGTGAAACAGGGCCACCACGTGTCTCACAGGCTGGTGAAAACCAGGAAGGCTGGCCGACCACGCTGGGCGTGGCCCTGGGCTGACTGATGGCCGCAGCCTGTGCCCGGCCAGCCGCCCAGCCTCAGCCTGCGGGCTTGAGGGGCATGGGGGGTCTCTCGATCTGTTCCCTAACCCCTGTGATGTGGAGCAGGACGAGCTCAGGGCACGTGTGAGTGCGAGCAAGTGAGTGAGAGGAGGAAGGAGGGAACGGTGTCTCGCGGGCTTCTGGAAGGATCGGGCTCCTGAGAAAGGGCCTCTCCAGCCAGCGCTCGGGGCTGGAGGCGGGAGAGCCCCGCACACGTGGCTGCCCGGTGGTCCACAGGCTTGTGACCAAGGATGTTTCTCGTCTCGGGATCTAGAGGGTTGGAAGAGAACCGCCATCCTCCCCGGCCTTTGACTGGTGGGAGGGGGCGGAGTGTATTTGTTGATTGTGCCTTGATATGTGCGTTTCAGAATGTGAAGTTCCCACTGGTGATACAGAAGCGTGAGCTAAGCTAGACTCAATGCGCCCTCCACAGGAGACCCTGAAGCAGGGAAAGCCTCCCCACCAGAGCTGGGCACTCCCAAGCCTATATCCTCCATCACCCGGATGTGGAAGTGTCCAGAGCTGCCCCCAAATGTCTGCCCATCTCCCACCACGGGAGAAATTACGTAAAATCAGTAAGGCTCTCCCAGTTTGGCACTGAAAAAACCTAACTGCAATCATTTTCTGTTTGCTAGTTTAGGTACACCCTTACTTTTAAAAAATCCTTAAAAAAAAAAATCCTTTAAATTAAAATATAAAATGTAAAAAAAGAGAAGTACCTAACACAAAGTCTGTTTACCCAGAAGCTCTCCTTGCTCTTGCAGTGAGATTTAATTAAGCAGAACTGCAATTGCACGTGGTTTTGTAGCGCCGGCTCCTGTCTTCGTAAACAGCCAGCACCAGAGGCAGAGAAACAAGCACGATTTGATGCGCCAACTGCAGTTGGGCGCTGTCCCCACGCGAGCAGTGTTCAGCCTCCCTGGGCACAGCTTTCCTCCTTTCTCTCTGGTTAAGTGGATCTGAACAAAACTGTACCTTATTTCCTGCACTGGGGAATGGCAGGTTTATACCGCGTAAGGTGACACAGTGATATTATTAACGTGCGTGACTCATCCGCAGCTTGTGTTTTAAAGGGCTTTCGTGTGGCAGCCTCGGGGTATGTTGCTACTACCTCCTCCATGGCCCTAGATGTTGGCTTTGCGGGGGGCAGAGGGGCATGCATTTTGCGGATCCGCTCCCGGGGAGCCAGGGTAAGAACACAGAGGACTGGGGAGAACTGTTGTGTCGTCGGTGGGGACTTGCAAAAGGGCTAGCAGATTCCAGCCCAGTGTGGCCTTAAAGTGGGAGGAGGCGTTTGTGATGGACAGGCAGCGAGGACGCCCAAATGGAGGTCAGCACGTGCCCAGAAGCAGGGCGACGATGTGGCGGGTCAGTGGAGCAGGAGGCCGCGGTGCTGGGGTAGGGTGTAAGTGAGGGGAGGCATTTGGAGGCGGGTGTGACCATACCGTTGGTAAGAACAAAGCCAGATCTGGAGGTGACGTCTCACCAGGTGATGCTTTTTCTATGAATAACATCAAGAAGGAATTCAGATGTCGCTGAGAATGTCTGTAACCATGCAGGGAGAGACAGGGCCCCAGCCAGGGAGGATGTACCCCCACCCCACTGGAGGCTCCCAGCAAGTACGCACCCACTGATGGGTTGCAGGGTCGCCCTGGGGCTCCGCTCTGGCAGATCTGCAGGCAGGCCCAAAGCCAGGGCATGGCCTGGAGGGGCCTGGGTGAGGCCTGAGTCTGAACCAGGTGGTGGGCCCAGCCGAGGCCAGCTGACCCAGCCAGGCTCCTGCTGCCTCTGCCCCCTGGGAGGCCCTGCAGCCTGGGGACCCCTGTGTAGGCTCCCGCTGAGTCCTCTAGGGAGGACACAGTGCTTCTCTACCAGGCCAGACCCTCCAGCTAATAGCACACTGAGGGCTCACCGTGGGGTGAGCGTCCACTGCTCTGGACGCTGGGGTTACAGCCAGGGACAAACAAGGAGCTGACCTTCCTGTGCGGGAGGAAGACGATAGATATAAATGATTCACCCGGCCGCTTAGACGGTGATAAGTGTTATGGGAAAGAAGGCAAGGGGACAGGAAGGACACGTGGAGGGGTTAAAGTTTTAGATAGGTAGTCCAGGGCTTCCCGGGGCTTCCCAGTTGGTACTAGTGGTAAAGAACCCACCTGCCAATGCAGGTAGACCTAAGAGACGTGGGTTCGATCCCTGGGGTGGGAAGATCCCGTAGAGGAGGGCATGGCAACCCACTCCAGTATTCTTGCCTGGAGAATCCCATGGATTCTGGTGGGCTATATAGTCCACAGGGTTGCAAAGAGTCAGACACAACTGACTCGACTTCACACACACACACACACACACACACACACACACACACACACAGGGACTTCCCTGGTGGTCCAGTGGCTCAGAATCCACGACCAATCCCGATGCAGGGGGCCTGGGTTCAATCCCTGGTCAGGGAACTAGATCTCGTGTGCCACAACTCAGAATTTGCCTGCTGTATCTAAGACCCGGTGCAGTCAAATAAGTAAATAATTTTAAAAATAAATAAATAAATAGGCAGTTAGGATAGGCCTCACTAAGAAGGTAACATGCAGGCAGTCCTGACAGAGGCAAGGGGATGAACCGTGCAGACGCCCAAGGAAAGAATGTTTCAGGCAGAGGAGGCAGCAAGTGCAAAGGTCCTGTGGCACAGAACCGTGCCTGGAAACCAGTTCAGCTGGAGCAGAGTGACCAACAGGAGGGATGGGCGGCGATGAGGTCAGAGAGGCAAGGGGGAGGCGCGGCAGGTGCCGCCTGCTGGGGCTCTGGCTGCCGCTACTCCAAGGGACACGGGGGATGATGGGGTTTGAAGGGAGGATGGTCTGGTCTCACTGTTTAAAAGGCTCTCCTGGTCTTGCTTCATGACTAGGTTCTAAGGGTGAGGGCAGAAGGAGGGAGAGCAGGGGCTGCGGCCACAGTCCATGTGGGAGGTTGTGACTCGGACCAGGTGGGGGCAGGGGTGAAACCGATTGGATTCTTGATCTTAACCGAAGGGAAAGCCAAAACAAACCATGTGACAGTGGAGCTGTCAGGAGGGATAGAGAGGGCAGGGAGGGCCCCAGGGGTTTGGTCTGAGCCACTGAAGCACAGCCTGGCCTCTGCTCCTCTCAGCCCTGAGGACATTGCCTCCTGGGGCCGTGTGCCAGGGGCTTCTGCTGGAGTGAAGCAGGCTGAGGGAGTGGGGAAGTCAGGCTTCACTTTGGGCCTGTTAAGTCTGAGATACCATTGGAGGATGAACCCAGGAAAAGGAGTGCACTGGAGATGCCCATGCATTGGAGGGTCGTCGGCTTATAAATGTCACCAGAGGTGGCCAGAGTGAATGAGAGCTGAGAGAAAGGCACGCAGGGGCAGCACCCTGGGTGCAGCAGCATTGGGAGCTTAGAGGGGAGGAGGACCTGCAAAGGAAACCAAGAAGGAGCGGCCAGCGGGGGCAGTAAGCCCAGGGCAGTGCCCTGGGAGCAAGTGCTGATGAGTCAGTAAGATGAGGGCTGAGAAACGAGGACAGAGCAAGGTGCAAGGTCATCGGTGACCTTGGCCAGGACCGTTGGCATAGGGGATGTCCAGGCCTGACGGGGAAGGTTTAAGGAAGTGGACACTGGAGACTAGCTAGGCAACTTCCTCAGGGAGTTTTGCTGAAAAGGGGCATGGAGTCAGAGAATGGCGGGGGCAGGAGGTGGGGGGGGGTGGTGCATTTCAGATGGGAGAAGAATGTGCTTGTGAGCTTGTGGAAAGAAGCAAGGGCTGCAGGACACGGAGGAGACCTGCTGGGGAACACCCTGGTGGCGGAGCCAAGGCGCTGGCATCTCAGGCACTGTCTCTGGCCGCCTGTGGGCACAGAGCGGGGAGGGGGTGGGTGTGCTGGCAGCCGCGTGCCTCTTGGAGCTCTCCAGGCAGAGACAATGCTGACCCCCCAGAGCTCCCGCCTGGCTTGTCTGTGGCTGACTGAATAAAGGGGTCCCCCACCTTCAGGAAAGCCCCCGGTGTGATGCCCCCAGACTTTGCCCCCTGACTCAGATTGGGATAAGTTTCTGCCTTTGATCGTCCTGCCACGGTCATAGTCACTCTGCTTTCTTTCTCCCCTCTGTGAAACGTACGCCCCAGAAGGCCTTCCCGGATTCTCCCAGGGCGAGGTCCCATGAACCTTGATAAGGGGAGGGGGGCTGTCTTGTGCCTGCCTGACATGGGCAAAACATTTCAGAGGCAAGGGGTTCTCTCTCCACACATCCCCGCCCCCCCACCCGCCCCCTCCAAGACGCACCCTCTCCTCTGGGCTGCACAAACCCCATCCCGCAGCATCCTCCTGACGACCCCCTGTCTCGAGCATGCCCCACCCCCATCTGGTATCCGTCTGAAGTGGGCTTGGCCTCACATCCCCCCTCTGTACCCCTGCCACCCCTCACTCCACCACCACCCTGACCAAACTCTCCAACCTTTCTTGAGATACCGGTGACCCCTCCTTACTCACGGATGGTCCCTATTTGACTTGGGGCCTTAACACGCTTCCTCCTGACCTCACTCTGCTTCCTGCTACGTCCTCTCTGGGTCATTCCCAGGACACCCCAGAAAATGTCAACATCCCCAGAAGTCCTGTTCAGGTGTTCTCCAGACCCCTGGAGGTCTCCCCGACCTGCATCTCCAGCCTCAGACCCCTGGGTCCCACTTCCCACCATGTGCATCCCTCTAGCTGTTCTACTAAGCGCTTCAGGCTTGCCAGAGCCCAGCTATACAGCCTCTCACCCCTTCCCCATTTGAGGGGTCAGTTCCAGGCATGGGCCTACCCACGTGGGTTCTCTGCGACAGTGGGGATCACGGGTCTTTCCAGGACCTTCTATTGCCTTGCCGCAGGGCCAGAATTCAAGCCCAGGCCTGCCAGACTCCATCTCAGGACCCTCCCCTGACACCAAGTGGCCACTTAGCGACATGATCCCAAAACCTCAGTCTGCGTGTTCCCACCCCCAGCAAAGGAGACAGAAGGAAGGGAGGGGTGGCAGGTCCCCCGCCACCCCTCAGGGCCCTCTGGTAGCCCTGCCCCATCGCCTCTGCCACACCGCATTTGCCCAGCTTCCCTGTGCCTCCCGGGCAGTCACCTCCACGCCTGCCAGGATGGCCCTTGGCTTCACCCAGAGACACTTCTTGGGGGACAGCCACCCACAACACTCAGCCTTGCACCCCCAGAGGTCTCCTCGGTGGCTCACCAAGTGTCCGGGAGCATTGGCAGGAGCGGCCGCGGCCTGGCACCCGCTGGCCCGGGGGGCCATGTAGAACAGAGGGCTTGCCATCAGGGGCCAGCGTGTCCACCCCCAGGGCAGCAGACGGGAGCACACGTGCGAACCCCCCCACCCACGGACAGCTCCTGGAGCTGCGAGTCGCTCCTCCCCCAGACCTGGCTGCGGGATCATCTCACCCCCATTTCGTCCAACCTTCCAGCCGCGCTTGGGTCCCCGGGGAACCGCTCGGTGCACACCTCCTGGGCCCGGACACCGGGCTGCCTCACAGGCTCCCCGGCCTCTGCTTTGTCCCTTCTGCCCCTTGGGGTGGGCGGCTGCCCCCCGAGCCCTCTCTGGGCTCCCCATGCTCCTGCTCATCCCCAGAGGTCTGTCTGCCCGGCGCCGTTTTTGGACGTGCTCCTGTTTGTGGCCGTCCCCCTGGACACCTAGCGCCTAGAACCAAACCTGTCCCCTCCCTCAGTCCACTTTACCACTAATCATGCTGCCCTCTGCCTACACCTCACCACAACTCCTGTCCACCTCCCTCCTAAGTGTATGCGATGCTCACCAAGGCCTCTTTGCCAAGCCCAGGGGGTGCTGCATTTTGGGGGTCTCTCTGGGCCCTGCAGGCTGAAGGCCGGACCTTAAACCTGCCCTCCACAACCTTCCCTCCATGCCCCAGCCCTGCCCTCAGGTGCGGCCTCTTTCCCCGCCCCATCTCAGACCTCTCACGTCAGGCAACACCACCGACCCGCCAGGTGAAGAGGGGGCCCAGTGGTGACAGACGGGACAGGTCCCCTCAGGGCCTGAATCCTGGCGTGGGGGGGGAACATCATCACGACGGGGGGTGCACACCCCGGGGGATCTGGTCCCAGGCCGGGAAGCCTTGGTAGCTCCGTCCGTACAATCATCGTATCTGACCGATCGGACCGTAGTGAGATGTGTAAAGAGCTTGGTGTGCAGGCGGCACCGGGAGATGGAGCGGGTGCGGGTGAGCAGGCTGCACGAGAGGGCTCAGGGCTATTCTGCCCACAGCCCGAGGCCTTGGGACATTTCTGGGGCCATACTGCCCCCTGGTGGCCATACTGTCTACCCTCAAAGGCCTCTGGCCTAGGCCACCATCCCTGCCCAAGGAGCAGGGTTTGTCACTGTGTAAATGAGTCCCAGCAGCGCAGGCCGCTGCCCAGAGTCACAGCCAACCAGACGTAGGGCTGCTGTTCAGCCACTCAGTCATGTCCGACTCTGCGACCCCGGGGAATGCAGCACGCCAGGCTTCCCTGTCCTTCACGCTCGCACAGAGCTTGCTCAAATTCAGGTCCGTCAAGTCAGCAATGCCATCCAATCCTCTCATCCTCGGACACCCCCTTTTCCTCCTGCCTTCAATCTTGCCCAACATCAGGGTCTTTTCCAATGAGTCGGCTGTCCGCATCAGGGGGTCAAAGTAGTGGAGCTTCAGCATCAGTCCTTCCAACAAGTCTTCAGGACTGACTTCCTCCAACCCGGGCCTGTCCTTTCCTGGGCCACTGCTGTCCTCCCTGCCAACGGCAGCTGAAGGCACCCATGGGGAGACTCATCAATGACTCCCACCCTCCCAGAGCACGGGGAAGTCTCCACACAGAACTGTTTGGGATTTGCTTTATTGTAAAGACGACACCCGGTGCTGGGACAGGGGAGAAGGCCCTGGGAGCTGGGGACCAGGGAGGTCCCAGGGGCGCCGCCCCATCCCTAACAGTGTGCTGAATCCTGTTAGGGGAGGGGCTGAGCCAGTCTGAGGTCCACTCCCGCCCACCCCGTCAGGTCTGAGGGGGTCTACCTGTCCCCCCCCACACCACCCACTGTACCTCCCTTACCTTCCCCCCCTCCTACCCACTGGGGCCTCCCTCTGGTCATTATCCCAGAGCATCAGCCGTGGAGAAAGCTCGGGACTCTTTGGGTTCAGCCTCTTTGTCCTGCTTGACGGAGGCCATGAGGCCTGCAGAGGGAGAGAGGCTGGTCACTGCGGAGCTGGGGGTTGATGGCGGCGGTCAGGGAAGGCATTTCTCCTAAATCTCTGACCTGGGCTCCTTCCTTCCCAAACCCAGAGAGTTCTTGGGCAGAGTGAGTTCCCATGCCAGGAGTGCCCTAGGGCTGGTCCCCCAGGCAGGGGCACAGGCTGTGTGTTGGGAGGCACAGAGCAGGGCGCGCACCTCAGGTCCCTCTGACAGCCACGTCTTCCTTTGGCCCAGGGCGCTGCGCGGAGCTGCAGGTCCACGTCACTGAGCTCACAGCCACAGCAGCAGAGCAGAGGGAGCTGATCGCCCGCTTGGAGCAGGACCTAAGCACCATCCAGTCCATCCAGCGGCCGGACGCCGAGGTGAGCCCACCGCCCGCCCCCGCCCCCTCCCCACCTGCCCACCTGCCTCCTGCCTTCAGCCTCACAAAATGCTGACTTTCCAAGCCAGCCAGCCCGTCCTTGAGCAGCTGGTGTCCTCTGGGCCCATGCTAAGCCCCACAGGGCCTGTCACCTACAACCTCCAGGGGCTGTCTGCTCACTTCATCACAAAGGCCCTATTCGGGACAGCAGGCCGCAGGCTAAGGGCACAAAGGCCCCTGCCTCTGGGTGCTGGCTTGGCCCCTGAGAGCTCTGGGCAGAAGCAAGGCCAGGACTATCCACCCATCCCACAGCTAGAGGACCCCAGGCCCCGAGATTAGGAATGGCCAGAGTCCCAGGATCCTCAGGGGTCATCATCACATTGCCCACCTCGTTTCCCAGACAAAGAAATGGAGCCCAGGGAGAGAAATGGGGCTGGCCTGGGGTGATACGGCAGGCTGGCGGGTAGGGCCGGGGTCACCCAGCCTCCCGTGCCCATCAGGGCCGAGCAGCCAGGTGGGAGCCCCACGCTGAACTCCGGCCTCGAGGCGAACCACCTGCGCCTTGATGGCCCCCGTGAGGCACCCTCTCCAGGCCCTCCTGTGGCCACCGCCGTGTCCAGCCCCTGCCGCTGGACCGCCCCACCCGCCCCTTGCCATCTGCATGCTTGGCCCCCTGGATGGCTGTGTTCACTGCCAAGTGTATAGACGCCTCGCTGACCTCTCCCTCCCACCTGCAGGGCGCAGCGGAGCTCGGCCTGGAGAAGATTCCCAAGCCCATCAAGGAGGCCACTGCCCTGTTCTATGGTGAGGAGGGACCCAGGCCATGATGAGCTGGGCGGGAGAGGGGGACAGGAGCCGAGGTGGTGTCACCTAGGCCCTAAAGAGCACACACCTCTGTCAGAGGAGGCCAGGCCCCCGGGCCAGCAAGGCAGCAGAAACTCACCAGAAGGGTGAGCCCCTGACTTGCCCCTGTAGGCCTCAGTCTGACACCCCCACCGTGGGAACCCTGACCAGCTCAGCCCTGCCAGGGGCCTGTCACAGGCTGGTGGGTGTTGATCAGCTCCCTGGTGGGGGTGGGGCCCAGCCCTGAGAGGCAGCCAAGGGCTGGAGCGGAGGTGGCCCCCGAGTGTTGAGGCCAGGACACAGTGGTGGTGGCAGGGCCACCCAGTCCCCTCAATGTCCCTTTGCTTCCACCCCATGGCACTCAGCCAGAGCCCCCCTCGGAGCTGGTGACCTGAGGGCCCCCCACTGGGCTGTTCCCACCCCACCCCCCACTACCCCCAAGCCACTGTCCCCTCCATCCTAGGACCCTCGGCACCTGCCAGCTCTCTCCCCGAGGGCCAGGTGGACTCGCTGCTGTCCATCATCTCCAGCCAGAGGGAGCGCTTCCGGGCCCGGAACCAGGAGCTGGAGGCAGTGAGTCACGTCCCCCCCTCCCCGACACTCCACGGGCCTGAGGACACGGTGGAGGACACACAGGTGTAGGGGAGAAAGATGTGTCACAGACCACAGACCTCAGTGGGATTATATCTGTTCTGTGTGCTCAGGGAGGGATGCCTAGAGGAGGTGACATCACACTGGGCTTTGAAAGGAGAATCAGACCCTCCAGGTAAACGCGTGAACAGAACCGTGGGGTCAAGGAGCCAGAAGGGAGTCCAGGGACAAAACAGAGAGTCGCCAGGCAAGGTCCCTACTGCCAGGCTGGGGTGTGATAGAAGGGGGGGACCACCACTGCCAGGATGGAGGGTAAGAAGGTCACTCGGGCGGTCAGTCTAGAATAGAGGCTTGGCCCAGGAAGACAATTTGGTGGTGGTCACCGTGGCCCAGGAAGAAACATCTCAATCAGGTGGAGGGGTGGGAAGCAGGGGCAGGTCCCAGGGAGGCGGATCTTGAACCCTATGAAGAGGAACAGTCTAGAGAAGGCCAGGCGCTCTGTGGAGTCCGAGAGAGCCTGCTGGCTGCTAAGCACCCAACTGGTGACCCTCCTGGAGAGAACCCATAGGAGAAGCCAGTCTAGTCTGCAAAGGTGACCAGCCCGGGGACTTCCCTGGGGGTCCAGTGGTTAGGAATCTGCCTTCCAATCCAGGGGACACAGGTTCAATCCCTGGTTCGGGAACTAAGATCCCACGTGCTACAGGGCAACTATAGGACCCGCACACAACAATCAAGACCCGACACAGCCAAATAAATAAATTAATTAAGTATTTGGGGGGAAAAAGGCAACCAGTCCAGCTGCACGTGGGTCTTTCACATGCAGTGTCCCCTTGGGGACTCTGCAGACCCCTGCTTTCATCCCACAGAGCCAGCCAGCCCAGGTCCTCCGATCTCTCTCCCAGTAGAAAGAGGAGCCAAGAAGGTTTCCATCTTCTCAAAGAGTCACCGCTTGAGCAGGCGGTGAAATATCTCGCCCCTTCCCTCCGCACCCGCAGCTCCCCCATGGGGCAGAAAAGGCTGAGGTCTCCAGGAGGCCGACATTCACTGAGTACCCATGCAGGCCGGGCCCCACGCTGGTCCAGTGACAAGGGTGAACCAGATCCAGTGGGACCCCCTGTGATCTGGGCTCCAGAGCAAGAGGCTTCAAATGGAGGACCATCAGGACGGCTCCCCTCACAGCTACCTTCGTGAAAGTGGACAGGGAACACCCATGCCCCTCGAGGGCTAGGGACAATCACCATGGAAGGCTAGGCAGCCCTTTAAAAAGGTCTTCAAACTAGATCAAGTGGGGTGGAAGGAGTATTTATAAGATTGTGCCTTCTGCTTTAAAAATCTAGACTTTCTTTTTTACCATGTACATGTTTTAAGTTGTGGTAAAATATACATCTGGAGGAGGAAATGGCAACCCACTCCGATATTCTTGCCTGGGAAATTCCGTGGACAGAGGAGCCCGGCGGGCTACAGTCCATGGGGTTGCAAAGAGTCAGACACGACTGAACACGCAAAAGATGCATCACTTAAAATTTATCATCTTAACCATTTTTAAATTCAACACAGTGGCATTAAGTACATTCATGTTGTTAGGCAACTCCCACTACCACCCATTTCCAGAACTTTTTCATCTTCCCAAACTGAAACTCTGCACTGTTTAAACACTCACTCCTCTTTCCCTCCTGCCACCTTCCACCATTCTATCCTGTCTCTATGAATTCGGCCACTCTACGTATCTTATATAGGTGGAATCATAGAATATGTGTCTTTTTGTTTCTAGCTTATTTCGCTCAGCTTAATCCCCTCCAGGTTTATCCATGCCGTAGCATGTGTCAGAATTTCCTTCTTTTTTAAGGCTGCATAATATTCCATTGTGTGGCTGGACCACAGTTTGTTTGTCCTTTCACCTGTCCATGGACACTTGGGTTGCTCCGCCTGTTAGCTCTTATGAATATGCTGCCATGAACATGGGTAAGCAAGTTATCTCACAGTCCCTGCGTTCAGTTCTTTGGGGTGTACACCCAGAAGTAGAATTGCTGGACCATACGGTGATTGTATTTTTAAATTTTTGAGGAACTGCCACACTACCACGGACATTTTTGCGCTTTTGAATTTTTCACAGTGTGAAGAAAACACCGCTTTAAGCATTTTAATAAGTTGGAAGATGAGTTCACATGTCACTTTGCCCCTAGGTTGGCAAACATTAAAATCACATATTGTATGGTTTCATTTATATAAAACGTCCAGAAGAGGCAAACCCATTGAGACAGGAAGTAGACTAGTGGTTGTCGGAGGTCGGGGGAGGAAAGCATGAGGAGTGAGTGATGACAGGTGTGGGGTTTCTTATTAGGGTGATAGAGATATTCTGAAATTAATTTTAATTAACTGATTAAAATTAATTTTAATTCTGAAATTAAATTAAATATAATTTGCATGTTAAATTAAATATGCAAATTAAAGATGGTTGCATAACATTGTGAATGTATTGAAAAAAACGAATTATACATTAAAATGATGTTTATGTTATATGAAATATATCTCAACAATAATTTTAAGCTGATACCATAAACAAACAACATGAAGAAAGTGACCCAGGAAAATAAGAAAAAAAAAAGAATTAAAGAAAGTGACCCAAGGACTGTGACTTCTGCCTGCTGTGGTCTCCCCGGGCTTTGAGCAGAGGCTGGCAGGTCTAGGATGTGACCTCAGGCCAAGCAGGGGCTTGGGGTAGACAGAGTGGGACCCGTGCCAGCATGGAGGCCTCTCCCCCAACTCCTTCAACTGCTGCCCACCCACTCACCCGCCCGGCTGCCCCCAGGAGAACCGCCTGGCCCAGCACACCATCCAAGCTCTGCAGACTGAGCTAGACAGCCTGCGCGCGGACAACATCAAGCTCTTTGAGAAGATCAAGTTCCTGCAGAGCTACCCTGGCCGGGTAAGCGCCCCCGGGCCCCCTGCTTCCAAGCTGAACCGGTCTAGGGAGAGGAGTGGTCCCAGCAGGATGGCTGGGGGCAGTGAGCTGCTGGGCAGCAATCGGCCTGGGACCCCCAGAGACCATCCCACACCCCCCCGCCCCAGGCTTGCCAGCTATCCTCCCTAAGCTGTGGAGCCCTGATGGAGTTTTGTTCATCAGAAGCCCCAGCCAGGAGGTAATGAGGTTCAGAAAGAGGCAGGGCTCACAGGACTCAGGCCCATGTGAGTCCTCTGTGAAATAGGGGGACCCACTAGTTGACCCCAGGATCTGGAAATTTAACCCTAGGGATGTTGGACATACAGGACAACTGTGGGGGATTCATATGTTTTAAACTTATATTAAAAAAAAAATACCAGAATTGGGTTCAACATTCCAAAAACCTATCGATCAGATGGGAATAGAAAACTACCCACTCTATTCTGAGCCAGGAGGGCCCTCCCCGGCTTCTCTCAGCCCCCAGGGCTCACAGGAGACCACCTCGTGCAGGAAAACCCTTCTGAGGCCCTGGGGAGATGGAGTGGGCAGAAGGATGGAGTGGTGACGCCCTAGCTGGGGGACAAGTCCAAGACTCAGCCACCCGCCCCCAAACCACCAGTTGAAGCTGTTCTCAGGCCACCAGAGGGCGCCCAGGCTCCATGCGAACTAGTTCTAGTTCGCTGCGTGGCCTGCTGCAGGGCTGGGGGGCGGCCTTCATCTCCCAGGTGCCGGCCTGTTCCCCAGAGCCACCCTGCACTCTCCCAGCGAAGCCCCTCCAGACCCACCTCCCTGCACCGGGCCCCGCCCTTGTACATTCCAGCTGCCCTCTGGGTCTTAGCTCCCCCTACCTGTCCTGAGGCACGGTGACCCCGACCCCAGGGAGAAGACCCCTGATCCCGGGCAGCGCCCCTGGACACAAAGCACCATATGTCACACCGTCACCCGGGGCCCTGTACCCGCCTCCACCGTGCGGAAGAGTAGACTGAGGCTCCCTGTGAGGCTGTCGGGCTGCAGTCCATTGGCTCCGGCCCTCCTGTTGGGTGCGCTGACCGGGTCTCTCCTCCTCCCTTTCCTGCAGGGCGGCGGCAGTGACGACACGGAACTGCGCTACTCAACCCAGTACGAGGAGCGCCTGGACCCCTTCTCCTCCTTCAGCAAGCGGGTGCGTGGGCCCGGCCGCGGGGCAGCCCGGGGCACCCACCAGCTCACCTGGCCTCGGGCTCCCTCTGGCCCCCCTCCACCAGCCCTGGTCTCACCCTGCACCCGCCCACACACACTGCACCGTGACACCCCAGACCACCAGGGCAGCCCCCACAATCACTTTGGTTCCGGGGAGGCCTGGGGTCCACCAGGGCAGGCCTGGCACACCAGCTGATGCTGATGGCCCCGTGACGGTGTGCGACCGTGACCCGGTTAACCCCAGGTGTGCACTCAGGGGGGCAGGCACACGGGCAAAGAGCTTCGCGGTGTCAGGTGACTTACGGTGGTGGGGAGGGGGCTTGTCACCCTCCCTCCCCTGCCCTGAAGACCCTCCGTGTTCAGAATCGGCCACTTCAGAGGGGGCAGCAGCTCCCGTCACTAGCCCTGAGCGGGATTGGGCACCAGGGTGCCCTTGGCAGCCTCCACACCCCAGAGCCCTGCAGGGACAGCAGGGCAGGGTCCCTCTCTGCAGTGAGCTGGGGCTCTGGGGGCCTTTGGGGGTCCTCTCCTCATCCCTCCTCCCCCTTCAGGAGCGGCAGCGGAAATACCTGAGCCTGAGCCCCTGGGACAAGGCCACGCTCAGCATGGTGAGTCTCACCCCACCACCCCACCATGCCCCCCCAGATTGGGCCTGGGCCTCCAACTCTGGGCACCTGGTCACCTGCCCTCCAGCCCAGTCTGGAAAGCCCCAGGGACCCCGCTGCCCGTCGCAGGCCCGGTGGAGTGGCTGTGTGACCCTAGCCGGGGCGGGCGGCGGGGAGGGGGGCAGTCTGTCCGTCTCCGTGACAGCCCTATTATTCACGGTAGATTCTGGACGTGGCCACACGGGGGCGCCATTCCCTAGCGTTCCTGAGGCCCCGCGTTCCCAGCCTGAACGCTGGAGCGGCAGCCTATCTTTCCTGCCCTTCGCTCCCCCGGCTGCCCTGGGTGGGTGAACCCGGCAGGGGTGGGTGAGACTCGCCCGACCCCACTCACGCCTTGCTTGCTCCCCAGGGGCGGCTGGTTCTCTCCAACAAGATGGCCCGCACCATCGGCTTCTTCTACACACTGTTCCTGCACCTCCTGGTCTTCCTGGTGAGGATCTAGGCGTGGCCAGGGATACATTCACCACGGTCCCCCCACCTACCGCCCGCCTGCACGGAGTCTGCGCCCAGCCGCTCTGTCCCCATCGCGGGCCTCTGGGGACGACAAGCCCAGCCGGCAGGCCCTCCAGCTGGGGCAGCAGCCTGTGCGACTCCATGCAGGGCCCAGCCCTGGGAGCGGGGCTTGGTGGAGGGGAGGGCCACTGAGGGAGGCTGGTGGATGGGAAAAGAGGTCTAACAGTAGTCACTGCTGAGGGACAGCCAGGCGGGCCGCACACGGCGGGGACACCTTGAGCCGAACCTCCTGGGGGACGGAGAGGCAGTCCAGCTCCCAGGCACAGCACATATGGGGGCCTGGTGGTGCCCACGTGTCCGCCCGGTGGAGGGAGAAGCAGGGGTAGGCGCATGCCTGTAGAAGCCTTCAGCCTCAGGGACCCCTCACCCCCAGCGAGGCCACAGTCAAGATGGCCCCTATATGGCCAACCCGGGCTCCAGCTCTGACCCCAGGGCCCAACCGGTCCTGGTGCTGCCAGTGGTATGCCCAGCGATGCTAGGGATGGTAGCTCCATGCCCAGGACTGTCTGACCAGCTGTGAAGCTGGTGGGCACGAGAGGTAGCATCTCTAAGGCGCCCTGCCCCCTCAGCCTGGGGCTGCGGCCACAAGAAATGTCATGTGTCACGAAACCAGGCCCAGGGGCGGCAGGTGGACGGCCGGAGTGGCCGCAAGCCTGCTGACCGTGTCTCTCCCTCGGGGCAGGTGCTCTACAAGCTGGCGTGGAGCGAGAGCATGGAACGGGACTGTGCCACCTTCTGCGCCAAGAAGTGAGGACCCACTCAGCCCCCCGCTCGGCCCCCAGCACCACCCTTATGTTCTTATGTTCCCTGTCCCCACCCAGCCTTCCATCACTGCCCCCATCTGGTCCACCCACGGGGGCACACCCCCTGGAGACCTCCATGCCCCCCGCCACTCCCACATTTCTTTCTTTTTCACACTCGGCTTCAGCAGATGTTTCTGTGGCCCCCAGGTTCGCCGACCACCTGCACAAGTTCCACGAGGATGACAAGGGGGTGGCCGCCAACGACCTGTGGCAGTGATGTCCCCAGGCTTCCCCGACTCAACAGTGATGGCTGCGTTCCCCTGCTTGTTCAGCTGCTTCTAATGACTTAGGCTTCCCTGGAGAATCCCCCGTGTAGATGACTCTTGCCCTCCACCCAACAGTGCCAGAGGTCCCCAAAGTCTCCTTGGGCTCCCTTAAAAGAGGGTCTTAGCCTCATCAGCTTCCCTAAGTCCAGAAAGCTCTCAAGGCCAAGCCAGGCTGGGCCTCAGGGACCCCCCCTCAAGTCCATCTCAAGCTGGTGACCCAGCTTGGGTCCCACCCAGCAGCCTGACCTCTAGCCCTGGGGACAGAGACCTCTTGGCTGTAATACTGAGTTCCCACTGATTCTGGCCATGATTAATCCAGTTGGGGTCCCCCGGGCCGTCCCGGGATCCCCTTGGGCTCCCCTCAGATCCATCACCATCCCCCCAAGGCATGGAAGCTCTTCCTGGAAGGACAGCGGGGTTTGAGTCCAGCCCCCTGCACCTTCCTTTATCATGGCCCCACCCAACCCCTAAAAGAAAGGGAACCGCAGAGGGCAAGATAGTTTGTTACCCCCTCCCAACCCCTTAGAAGCACTATAATTTTTGCTTTCTTCTTTAGCAAGATATTCTGGCTTTTAGGTGAGGAGGACTCTTCAGTGAGCACCCACGCCCCAGGCTCTTCAGACCCAGGACTGGTCTGAGGGGCCCCGGGGGCTTCTCGGCCATGAGCTGGAAGTGGGCCATCCTGGCATGGCCACCCCGGGGCCACTGGCAGATCTTCCTAAGTTAGGTTTGCACCTGCGTGTTCAGCTTTGCACATCTGGAATAAATGCCTTGTTGCAGCCACACCGGTGCCCCTGCCCTCTGTGATGGTGAGGGCATAGGAGACTGGCGAGCGCGTTCCTGTAGCAACACCCCCAGGAGCTGCGGCTGGACCTGATGGCTGCTCCGCTGGTGTGGGGCACGGTCCCTCACACGGGGGAGGCCTCTCCCCCTTTTCTCATCCCCGAAATTCCCTGAGTGGGTCCTGAGACCCACTGAGAGCTTTGCCGAAACCCAAACCCACAGTCTGAGTTCCCTTGAGCAGACAACCCAGCCAAAGAGAGACATCCATTCCCTTTTTAAATCTGCCTGTCAGGCTGCGGTAGGATGTGTGATGTCAGTTCCTGGGACTCCCTGCTTCCCTTTCTGTGTACACTGGAGCCAGCTCTCTGCCCCTTTCCCTTGGGCCCTGCCTGCCCGTGCCCACCATGTCCCCTGGACCAGCCTAGGGGACACCCCTGAGTCACAGGTTCTGAGCCACCCGGCCTCCAGGCCAGCCCCACTGGTGAAGGCCCCGTTCCACCCACACCAAGGACTTCCTCTTGGTCTGTGATGGTTGGCGTTTATCCCACTGACCAGGCAACCCATGAGGCTGGTTCCACACCCTGCAGTCCACCAGGCCAGAGGCCCCTGTGCAAACCCTGTCTGAGTTTTAGCCCTGAGTGCTCCAGAGTCTGTACCTCCAGGGGCCCCCCTTTGGGGTCCCACCCCCAGCACACATCACTTCCCCCATCAGGACTTTCTCAAACGCCCCAGAACCTGCCACCCTTGGGGACCCGAGATGGACCTGTCCTCCCTGACCCTCATTCCTGTCCCCAGGACAAAGCTACTCTTGGCTAATCACACACACACCCCCTACCTTCTTTCCCCGCCCCAGCCACTTCCACTTCTCCCACCAGTTCCTTCTTGTAGGTCGGAGTCCCCCTCACTTCCTCCTCCCTGGGTATCCGCACTATTGTCCTGCCTAGGGCTCCACACTCCATGACCCTCCCTGGCCAATGACTGGCCGCCAGTGGAGCTCAGCCCAGCACTCGGAACCAGGTTAGTTCGGGGGTGGGGGGGTGGGGAGGCTCTCTCACCTCCCAGGAGTGTGGAGTCCACAGCCAGGCCACCCAGTGTGGGGCCTCCCTCCCTCTTTACCACTCTGCAGGCAGTCACCCTCCCACCCACTGCCTTACTCCCACACCCCTTCCAGCCCCATTCAAAGGTCTGAATCCCAGCCGGATGTCCAGGCCTCTGTGTAGCTCCAAAGGATGGCTGGTCTGCACTGCGCCTAAGCTTTCAAGGGTTTGCTAGGCAGGTCTTGGCGAGATAGTGGCCAGTCTGCATATGGAAGGGTAGGGGCCAGGTACCAGGGCCTCAGACCAGGCCTGCCTTGCTTTAGCGCCACTGTGGAAGGAACCCAGGGCTGGCGGGCAGGAGGCGAGGCCTTGGGGCCAATCTCCACCTTCATCAACCCATGGCTCCTCTTGAGGCCCCACCCTTTTCATCTTCAAGACTGGGGTAAAAACCCTTCTTTGCCTCTTCTGCATCCTGGGAAATCAGAGATGTGAAACCTTTGGGAAAGGTTAAAGGGCTCTCTACAAAGGTCAGAGGTCAACATGGGTGGGGGCGGGTAACAGATGGAGGCAGCTCCCAGGCACAGCTCCTGGGAGACCACAGCAGATCACAGAACAGCCAGACGTGGGGCTGCAGAGGCTTAGCAAGGGCAGGGAGATGGAGATCTCCTGCCAGTGGGGGCTGAGGGCCTGGGGTGCGGGCAATGAGGGAGCAGGGGGAGGAGCCCCACACCCCCAGGGAGCAAGCCCTAGGTCTGATCTCTGAGCCATCTTCCACACTTCTCGCCCTTCTGCTCCTCTTGGGCGCCTTCCAGGCCTGCAGGAGCCCCTCTGGCTCTTCCAGGAAGCCTTCTGGAGGCTCCCAGCTCACCAGCAGTCAGTCCACAAGTTTTTGCAAAGGCCAGCAGTGGTCTTTGTTTTTTAATCCAGACTGAGATCTGCAGTAACGTACGCCCCAGGTTTGGGGGGCTGCAGAACCAACTAGAGGTGAGGAAGACAGGGCTGTGTCTCCGCCCCGCCCCCATCAGCCCCTTGTGTGACCTCTGAAGACCTTCCCCATGTGGCGTCAGTGTCCCCAGGACTGTGAAGATGGGGAGGTGGGAACCTTGCTTAGGTTTTCTCTGCCCCGTTGCCCTGGGCGATTTCCGGCACTGAAAGCGCTGAGGGGAGGGGGCGTGGTGCTCGCCGTCCGGATTTATGAGAACCAGACGTCGACTTCCCCCCGTTGCGACATCTGGGCTTTCTCGAGACTCCCATTGTCCCCACGCCGGAGGGTACCGGGTCCCCGCCGGGCGCCCGTCCCCGAGGAGCGCCCACGCCCCAGACACTCCACTTAACTCAGGCCACCCAGCCGGCCCCTACCGGCCGCGCTCCCGGGGCCACCATCCCGGACTCCCCGCGACGCCTCCGCTTGGGGCGGGGGGGAATTTCAGCGCCTGGCCCGGAGCCCGCTCCGCGAGGAAGGGCAGCCGCGGACTGTCGCTCTGAATGGGGCGGCTGCAGGCCAGTTCCTAACCCCTCTGGGCCCCAAGGCTGGGCCGCCCAGCCGCCGCCACCGGAGGCAGCGAGCAGCAGCTGCGGGCGCCGAACAGGCTACGCGGAGGGCGGGGGGCGCGGCGGGGGCGGGGCCGGTGCGGCGGGAGGGGGCGGAGCTCGCGGCGGGGGTGGGGCCGGGAGGGCGCGCGCCGCACGGGCGGAGGGTAGGAGCGGGAACGGGGGGGCGCGCGCGCCGCGCGGGGCTGAGCTCGGAGCGCGCGGAGCTCCGCCGCCAAGAGAGCCGAGCCCGGGCTGCGCCGGGCCAGCGAGGAGCGCACGAGCCTTCGAGGTTGTGGACGACGGAGGGAGGAGCCGCCGCCAACGCCAGCTGCCGCCCGGAGGGAGCCTGAACCCGCCGAGGGCCATGAGCCGCCGGGCCCCGGGAGGCCGGCCGCGGTCCGGGCAGCGCTCCGCCGGCGCCCCGGCCCGCTCGGCCGCAGCTGCGCGCCTATAGGTACGGCCTGCTTGTCCTCCCAGTTCCCTCGTCCCCCCAGTCCATCACTCTGAACCCGGTCGGTCCCTGAGGGCGAGAGTGTTGTGTGCGCACCGCTGCTCCGGGGAGCGCGGCCCCACGCGCCCCGGTCCGCGCGTGTTGTCTTTGTGTGCGCGGGTGGGAGGGAACGCGACGGAGGAGATGCGCCCCCGGCGGAGATCGGCTCCTAGACCCCCCCCCCCACCCCGCCCCAGCCCGGGCTGGGCGGGAGTGGCGGGAGGGGCCGAGCCGCCTCCGGAGCAGCTGCGCCCCCCGCCCCTTACCAGGGCCGAGGCCGGTGGTGGGCGAGCTCGGTGAGCCCCCTGGAGGAGGGGGTCTCTGACCAGGGCTTGGGGTGGAGGGCGGAGCGCTGGGGGTCTCTTCCCTAGGCTGCGGGGGCGGGGGGAAGGCCAACCTGAAATGAGGGTGCGGGCCACAGGAGGGACCCTGTCCAGATCGGCGTCGCCCGGCCGGCACGCCCTCCATCTGGCCCTGGCCTTCTTTCTCACGGTCTCGGTTCCCGACCCGCCCACCCCGGGAGCTCTCCGGCAGCCCTCGGTAGTGTGGGGAGGATCGCTGCGGGTGCCGGAGAGGCCGGCTCCTTTAAGAAGGGGCGGGTTCGTGCCCTCCATTCAGGCCCTCCGGCCTCGCCATTGATGAACCTGCGGGCGGCGCGGAACCCCGCACCGCGCCAGCCAGCGGGCCGAGACCGGGCAGAGGCGAGGACCCCAGCGGCCCACGAAGTGCGGTCTTCAGTGGGGAGAGGTCTGCAATGACTGGGACCCCTCCAGAACCGCGCGGGGCGGACTGGACAGCCTCGAGAGTGACCCGGGAACAAAGATAAGCCAGTTGGTGCCGGGGAGAGCCTCAGGGTTGGGAGTCAAACCTGGAGTGAACCCTCCACTGTCTGCCCTTTGAGCCTCCATCGTCTGCCCAGTAAAATGGGGATGGTGGTGCCTCCCTCCTAGCTGGGTGGCTAGCAGAAGTTGCCCCCCCTAACACAGGTCGCTGAGCATGGGGTGAATGGGCATGGACCCTGAGAGGGTCGGAGGAGCCAGGGGCTGTTTACCCTAAGAGGCTTTGGTTGCCTCTGTTAGGAGGGGAGGATGATCTGAACCCTCCCATC